AGAGAACACACCTGCCAGCCAGTACAGAGCACCTGGAGATCACCTGGAGCAGGAAACAGAGGCCGGGAGCACAGAGCTCGAAATCCTCCACGTCCCCAGACCACCCCTTCCATGTGAGAGGATGGGAGATTTAAGTGGTAGTTTGGAAAATCAGAGAGCTTTTTGGCCATAGAAACCAGCGTTTTTGTTTCAATGACCAATCTGTAGGACAACAGCTGATTTTTATTTGAAAAGAGTATAAGCGTATTGTCAAATAATTTCACTTTGTAAGGATGATTACATAAAAGAAAGCCCCGAAAACCCTCTAGAGAACCCCTGCCTTAAGATCGCTAGACACAGAGTGTGCAGTTTATAAAGGTCATGTGTGACCTCCAACTCCTACCTGTAGCCCTCCATTCCTCCAGAGCTGAGGTTGGGAATCGGCTGCAGCATTGAGCAACCTGGCTGAGGGGTTTGAGTCTCCTTTTACATTTAAGTAAAATGAAAAATACCGGTGCACATCTGTACTCCCACCACCTAGGAAACTGAGGCAGGTAGATCACAAGTTCATAGCCAGTCTGGGCTAAATATTGGGATCCTATCTCAAACAAATAAATAGAGGATCACATTCTATTTTATGAAATGAAATGGAAATGTTGCTCCATCCTAGAACAAAACATAAAGCCAATGAAGAAAAATAAAATGTTAGGCATGGTGGCACATACCTGTAATCCTAGGACTCAGGAGGCTGAGGCAGAACGATCCCTGCAAGTTCAAGGCCAGTCTGGGCTACATAGCAAGACCCTGTAAAAACCAAAATAAAGAAAGAAATAATAAAAATAATTTTGAAAAATAAAATTGACTGGGAGGCCTTAGGATTTAACCTTCAGCACCAAACAGAACAGATGAAAACTCTTAATAATAGAATAAATATGAACATGAACTGTTAAGAGAAGAGAATAGACGTCACCAGGCACCTGGGATGAATTGTGGATATTGAGATGAAAGGGCCATGGTGTCACAGAAAGGGAGGTCTGAGCCGTCCACAGTGCTATGGCTCTAGGGGTGAACTGTAGTAGAAGAACTAGACTTTCATGTGCAGGCGGGGTGGGGGTGGGGGCTGATAGTTCCCTTAAAAAAAGCAAGCTTCAGTTCGAGATTTGCAAGAGAAGGTCTTTGGTTCCTGAACTGCCTCCACGTTTAGAAACCTGATTCTGCAGGGCTCAGATACTTTCCTTAAGTGATACTTAGCTCCTCTATCTCAGGAACGTGTTAATCATCTGACTAACTGCTCAGCTTCGCTGCTTCATGAGATCGTCATTGCCAGTCCCAAGTGCACTTGGCTGCTGGAGACCAAACATTCTGTATGTGAATTGGGAGTTCAAATCACCGTGACAAGAGGTCTGACAAATTTGAGGGCCACAAACTGAAACAGCACAAGACCCAATGTCATCTCCAAAAACCCACTCAATTGGGCTACATAATTTGCGTTCAGGTAGCATCAGTGTTAGTCCCTCAGGGTTCTGGGAGTCGTATACCTCATGCCTATATTTCTCAAAAGTTATCGGCTCTGCCTCTCATCTGTAGTCAGGTAGGATTTAGTTCACCTGAGCCATTGTCAGCCTTGTCTATCAAGCTGAATTTGATGCGACCTAGGGCTGGGGCTAAAACCTGCCCTCAGTGACCTGTGTATATTACATGACTAAATACTGTCACTGCAAGCAGTCATGCCCTCTCAGTGATAACCCACATGTAGTTTTCGGTAGACACAGGAGCTCCTTATAGTTACCTCCAACTTTCAAATGCACAAGTGCAACCATAGGTTAGGTTAAGGGTGGGGATTTTTGCTTTGTTTTCAGTCATTCTCACAGTGTTTTCTGAACGGCATCATCTCGGCACTTGCAGAATGTAGAAACAAAGAACAGGGAGCAAAGGGATATGACAAAGGACGCATTAATTGAGCACTTTCAGCATAGTGGTTTAGGACATGAGCACTGGACCTGAAGTGCTAGGACTTGAATTTCTCTCTGTGCTGTCTGCTCTAGACAGCTTGTGTAACCTCTCTGTGCCTGTTTCCTATGAGACTATTGTGAGGGTTAATTGAGTTTATTCGTGTAAAGTGCTAAAAACAGTGCCTGCCCCGTATAAGCGCTATATAAGTGTGACGATCGTGTAGTAAATCCTGTGCTAACTCCCTGATATATATCATTTATTTGACACTAACTACAATTCCTTTTGAAAATGAAAATACAAGAAAGTACTGCTGGGCATAAGGCACATGCCTGTAATCCCAGCAGAAGGATCACAAGTTTGAGCCCAGCCTGGGCAACTTAGCTATAACCCTGTCTCAAAATAAAAACTAGAAAGGCCTGGGGGTGTAGCTCAGGTATAGAGTGAATACCTAGCACGTGTGAAGTCCTGGGTCTAATCCCAGCACCACGGCAAGGGGCGGGGGGAGAGAACTCAATTTGTTCCAAATTCATGTTCAAACACTGGAAAGTTTGAGTTGAACATATTTTTCCCATAAGAAATAATGGAAAACAAAATAATTGGTTCTGAGGCTCCAAAATTACTTATAAACTCATTTTTCCAAGACTTTAACAAATTTTACAATGATTTCTTTCTTTAACTCTATCAAGGTTCTCACAACGTTCCTTTTAGCTTTACTGCTGGTGTCACTAACTTTCTTTGGAGCCATGGTTATGATATTTTATGCAAATAAAAGCACACACAAAACAGCACAATGGCGAATGTTCTAGCACTAACACAAGCACTGTATGTTGTCTGTGCCGGAGCAGTGCTTAGACTGAACCTCTTGTGTCCATGGCGAGATGCGATCAACGTGTGACTCACTCTTGGCCCGTACAGATTTTTTTAAGTCGTATTTTCAGTTTAACTATTGAGCAAAGTTATAAACACCAAGCAGATTTTTTTGAATTTTGCTGTTCGAGTAGAGGAACCGCTTGTAGCGATTGGACAATCAAGGTAGCACTGTACTGAGTTCTGCTACACTGGTTTGTAACAAATGTCCTGTTACTGGGAGTACATGATAAAGGAATGAAACATATATATGGACCAGTCCCTTGTTTTTTCCACTACTTCTTCATAAAGGCTTTCCTACTCTGCCTAATTGCTTTTTTGTTTATACAATAATACAAGCTGGCAAACTCTCCATGTCAAAATATATAGATCTTTATTATTAATATCATTATCATTATTATTAGTGCTAGGAATTGAGCCCAGGGCCTCATGAATGCTAACCACATGTTCAACCACTGAGATACACCTCCAGCCCCTTTGTGGTTTTTTCGGTACCAGGGAATCAAACTTGGGTCCTTGCGCTTGCGCAGCAGGCGGTGAAACCACTGAGCTAAATCCCTGGCCCCTTCGTGTTATTTTTAATTGTTGCGGAGAATTACATACCATGAATATTCACTAGTATTTATAGATTAGCTAATGTTTACTGGACATGGGAGGAAACATGGATGGTAAAGCAGAACAAAACATGGTTCTCCAAAATATTTGTACTTTTGTGAGGTAACTCAAGACTTTCCTGAAATAATCAGATACCAATGCAAGAGGGCTGGGGATTTAGCTCAGTGGTTCCCCTGCCTGCCTCGCAAGCGCAAGGTCCCCAGTTTGATCCCCTGTAGCAAAAAAAAAACGTACATTACAGATGAGGGCCTCCTCCTGGAAGCCCTGGCTGGAGTAAAGACGAACTTTACCCTCTGGACTTGCAGCCTTGCTGAAACGTTGCTCAAGACAAGGACAAGTCTACACTCCCTTAACAAGCTTCAACGCAGCTGCAGGTGTGTTGGCAGAGGGTGGAATGCAGCCGGCCAGGGTGTGCTCCCCTTGCTCAGCATGTGGGCAGCACCTTCCGTCTGAAGCCACTCCCACTCCCACCTGAGGGAGTTGGGAATCTGACTGCTGAGGCTGGAGGCGCAGTGACTCTGCTCGGGGCCAGAATGAGAATTCTCCTTTTCAGGTCCTTAATCCTTGGCTTGGCCCTGATTCCTTGGGAACCTCTCGTGGGGCTGAGACAACAGTTGCCCCACAGGGCCAAGCTGGGGACAGGCTGTGCTTAGATATTCAGAAGCTTAGGCCAAGGCTGTGTTTCTTTCACCCCACCCCTAGGTACTAATCACTACCTAAGCCAATAGCACTTGGTTGCCACAGAATTAGGTTGTGTCAAAGCCTACTCTTGGCGTTCCTCCCAAAGGTCCTACTTGCTAGCAGTTTAATACTTAGTTGGATAAACTTTTTGACCCCAACCTTGTCCATTTACCCTTCCAGACATGTCTTTCTTTTTATACTGACAGGATAATTAATAATCAGTGAATAGACATATATTTACTAAACACCTACTGTGTATTTAGCTCTTCTGTACTAAGAGCGGGGCTTGGAATGCTGAAGTAGGGAGGTTAAAAGAAAAGACTTGCCCTGCCCTTGGGAGCTGTATGGGACACACACAGGACCACACAGCAGGTCCTGAAGTGGTTGAGGTGGGTGGCTCAGAGCTGAGGGTGTGCAGAGAGGCAAGGCCTGGCGGGTAGGGCGACCCTCGAAGAGGAGCCACAGTTGGCAGAAACAGGTGTCTATTTCTACCTCCCAGATAATCCATGGCAGCCTTGTCTGGTGGCCCTGGGGACTGAGTTCAATGAAGCAGCATGAGCCAGGGTGGCAACTAGATCAATATTCTGCTCACTGATTCACAGCAAGTCTAGTGTTTCCCTTGTCACTTGGGGATGAAAATGACTGACTCCTTTTGTCTTCTTTACCTCTCCAACATGGAAAAAAAATTGGAAAGACTATAACAATGAATACCTTTAGACTCTTCACGTACATTCATCAAATTTGCCATATCCCTTCTAGAAATTTTTTTTTTGTCTCCATTTGAACATAAGTTGCAGGGCTGGGAATACAGCTCAGTGGTAAGAGTGCATGCCTAGCAAATGTGAGGTCCTAGGTTGGATCTCCAGCACTAAAAAAAAAAAAAAAAGGAAGAAAGAAAAGAAAACCATTTTTAACCTTGTTTTATTGCTCATATTCACTTTCCCCAAGTTTCCACTTAATGCTCTCTCTAGCTTTTATCTTTTTATCACTTTTTTTTTTTTGTCTGGTACCAGGGATTGAACTCAGGACCTTGCAGCTTTTTTCTTTTTAAAATTAAAATGTAATCAAAGTTTACTCATTGGGTTTGGTTGTCCTGTCTTTTTTGTTGTTGTTGTTGTTGCTGAATAATGTTTATTAGCTTAATAATTTGGGCCTGCCCTTAGGATTAATAAACTTCAGCACTAATCACAAGATTTTTATTCACTGGTGAGGAAACTCTCTTGTTACAAATCCAATTAGAGAAAGGGCGTCTACTTCTTAGGGGCTGCAGTGACAGCAGGCTTCTCTTCACAAATGATGGGAATGGTGCGCTCAGGGCCAGAGACCTGTTTCCTTGGTCCATTCACAGTCAGGACCCCATCAGATGACAGGAATGAAGTAATGGTGAGAGGGTCCACATCAGTTGGGATCCTGTATTTCCTGTGGAACTCCCTGGAGATAAAACCATGTTCATCCTGGCACTGCTCATGCTTGCCATGCACCTCAGTCACATCTCCCAGCACCTTCACCTTGAGTTCCTCCGGGGAGAAGTGCTTCACATCCAAGTTGACAGAGAACCTGCCCTTTTCCATGCGCATCTAGAAATAGCAAGGTGAGGGAAGGAGGAGAAAGATAGGAGGAATGTGATTGCATTGATGCAAGCTCATCGTTCTGCAGAATTGCTTTCTGTCCAGGTAACTGTTTTTCCCTTGTCTGCTAAAAATCTCTTTTCCAGTTGTCCTGTCTTTAAATCTCTGTTAATCTGTAACAGAGCCCTGCTCCCCTTTTGTGTCCTTTCATGATCTTGACACTTTTGAAGAGCATAGGTCAGTTGTTCAGGACAATGACCACAATTTTGGATTTGTCCAATTTCTTCTTCATAATTGAATCCAGACTCCATTCTTTTTTTAATTGTAAAATTATAACAACACAGAATTTATCATTTTAACCATGTTTTACTCTCCTTCACCTCCCCTTTTAAATCCCAGGCCCTCCCCAAACATTTTTTTTCTTTCTTTTCTTTTTTTTTTTTTTTGGAGACAGGACTGGGCTAGAACTTGAGATTCTCCTGCCTCAGCCTCCCAAGTAGCAGAGTTTTCAGATGTGTACAGTAGTGCTCAGCTCATTTCATTTTAGCCCACCTTTTTGAGACTAGGTCTCACTATTTACTCAGGCTGGCCTTGAACTTGGGATCTTCCTGCTTCTGCTTTCCAAGTGTTTTAGCCATTTTTAAATGTACAAATCAGTGGTATTAAGTATATTAACAATGTTGTACAACTGTCACCAGTATCTATGTCCAGAACTTTTTCATCATCCCAAATACCATCAATGTACCCATTAAACAAGTATTCCTCATTCCTCATTCCTTCTCCCCAGCCCCTAGCCTGCCTTTCTTTCTTTCTTTCTTTCTTTCCTTCCTTCCTTCTTTCTTTCTTTTTCTTTCCTTCCTTCCTTTCCTTTCCTTTCTTTTTCTTTCTTTCTTCATCCTTCCTTCCTTCCTCTCTCTGTCTCTCTTTTTCTTTTTGTTGGGACAGGGTCTCACTATGTAGTTCAGGCTGCCTCTAACTTGTGGCAATCCTCCTGTCTCACCCTCCCAAGTACTGAGATTACAGGTGTGTGCAACCACACCTGGCTCTCTTTCTCTTTTTTTTCTTTTTCTTTCGTGTGTGTGTGTGTGTGTGCATGTGTGTGTGTGTTGGAGATTGATCCCAAGGAATCATACTTTCATCTTTATGAATGTACCTAGACTAGGTACTCTGTGTAAGTAGAATCATACAATATTTGTCCTTTTCTGTCTGCATTATTTTATTTAGCATGATGTTTTCAAAGTTTGTCCATCTTGTAGCATGTATCAGAGTTTCCTTTTTAAGGCTGAGTAATAGTCACATTCATGTGTGTGTGTCGGGGGGGGGGACTTTTGGCTATCTTAAATAATGCTGTTGTGAACATTGGTATATAGATATCTGCTTGAGTTCCTAGGTACTGGGGCTCAAACTCAAGACCTTATACTTGCCAAGCAGGCACAGGTGCTTAATTTTTTCAGAAAGTACCAAATTGTTCTCTACAGTGACTACATCATTTTATATTCTCACTAGCAAAGCATGAGGATTTCAATCTCTCCAAAGCCTTGCCAAAATTTATTGCTGCTGTTTTTCTTTTTTTTTTTAATAATAATCATCCTGATGGGTGAGAACTAGTTTCTCATTACGGTTTTGATTTGCATTTCTCTAATGAATAATAATATTGAGCATCTCTTCATGCAGTTATTGGCCATTTGTGTATCTTCTTTGAAGAAAGGCCTATTCAAGTCTTTTGCCCAGTTTTGAATAAGGTTTTTTTAAAATTCAGAATATGACTCTATTAGGAAAGTCTTTTAAAATTTTTGTAATTGGGGGCCAGGGATTTAGCTCAGTGGTTTGGCCGCCTGCTGTGCAAGTGCAAGGACCTGAGTTCAATTCCCAGTACCAAAAAAAAAAAAAAAGTAAAATTTTTGTAATTAGTACATGTTTCAGTGCATAATGTTTACATTCCTTGTGGAGTTGGTGCGTGTACATAACACATTTCATTTACATGTCACATTTTTCCTCTCCTTTCCCTCCCTCTATCTGTTGATCCCCTTACCATTTGAGAAAGATCTATCTCCCTACTTCCTATTATTCATCTTTTATTTTGCCCTTTATTTATACTTTGGGTTTCTTATACAAGAGAAACCATGTGATATTTAAGCTTCTATGTCTGATTTATTTCACTTACCATTATGGTTTTGTTGTTGTTAAGTTATAGGAATTCTTTTTATATTCTGGATATTGATCCCTTATCAGATATACGATTTGAAACCATTTTCTGTGAGTTGTCTTTTCACTATCTTGATAATGACTTTTGACATTTGAAAGTTTTAATTTTGATGAAATTCAACTAATCTGTTTTTTTCTTTGGTTGTTTAAACTTTTGCCATCAGAGTCTGAAAATCATTGTCAAATCCAATGTCATGGAAGTTTTCCACTGTGTTTTCTTCTAAGAGTATTTTTTTTATATGTTCACCTACTTTAATAACATGACATATATACCATGTTATCATTATGGAATGTAAGTTCAGGTTAGACAAGAGAATTTTACAAGTATTTACAAGCATTCTGTAGTATATCGAAGTTTGTGTGTAATGTCTGACCAAACCAGCTTGCTCATAAACTACTAGTCGTTTCCATTTTGGTCATTTAGCATTTACAATTATTACAGAGAAAAGAAACATATTGCACATATTTAAAAAGTGTTCATTTATCTGTGTATTACCACTTAAAATAAATATTTCTATTTCAAAGTGACATTTAAAATTTATTCTAATACAACTGCAACAAAAATATAATTCTACCGGTACCAAAAAAAAAAAAAGGGCTACAAAAATATAATTCTATAATTATAAAAGAGCTCAAGTGGAATCCATAATTAAGCTATTCTCATGTTTACAAGTGTGATTCTGAAATAAATACTATTTCTGTGCAGCTCTGATGTAAGTTTTCTAGGTCTACACACACACACACACACACACACGTGTGTGTGTGCGTACACATACCCACGAGGGTTCAATTGAGGGAGAATTTGTAAGTTATATACCATGCAATTTTTTTTTTTTTTTTGGTACCAGGGATCAAACTCAGGTCCTTGTGCTTGCAAGGCAGGCGGCAGAACCACTGAGCTAAATCCCTGGCCCTTCCCATGCATGTTTTGAAAGAGTTCTTCAAGAGCCAGGCACTCCTAAAAACTGAAGTTCTTACACCAGTCCACAGGGCAGACAGATAAAAGCTGAACTGACTGAGGGCAACAGGACTCCTATGGAACATCCAAGGCGTGTGATATCCAGCAGCAGCCCGGGAGTACATCGGGGTGGCCTGCTGTCTTCTTTAGAACTAATTGTCATGAGGGTTTAAGAAAGGTGGACATTTGAACACTATTGAGTGCATTTAGGTGACACAATTCTTTCATCTGATTCCCTGAATGACCCAGCTCATGAACTAGGCACTACTCATTTGGTCATCAAGGCTGCAAGGAATAAACCATTATTCAAAATACTATAATACAGTCCGAACAACTCAAATGACTTATTTTTGACACAAATATGTAACCTCAACACGAGATGTCTAACTAAACAACTGCTTCCAAAAAGACCAAGACAGCATCTCTTCTTCTAAGGGTTAGGTTTTGCCCAGAACTCCTGATACATGGAGTAGCCCATACCAAGGGTCATTGCTCCTACAACAAAGCCTTGGGCTGCTACGAGCGTGTGGATCAGGTGAATGGACATTTTAGTATTTTCCTTGCTCTTCAATTTGTATAATCCATGTGCACCAATTGCTGCAAAGTCTGCCTTTCCAAGAGGAACAAATGGTGCCTCTTTAGCTTTTCGGATAAGTTTAGATCCCTGATCTTCATCATATGAAGAAAGAGAAACATCTGTGTTGCTTGACATAGTGACTGAAGAATCTTCTGAAAACCACGGAACCCCTCAAACTCCACCAGCTTCTGGGCTCAGCCTCTTCTAAGAGTTTTATACTTTTAGCTCTTAAGTTTTGAGTCTTTGATCTATTTTGAGGTAATGTTTGTATATGGCATAAGACACGGGTACATTTTCATTCTTTTCTGTAAGAGAATATCAAATTTTCTAGGACCATTTGTTGAAAGATTGTTTTTTCCCCATTGAATAGTCTTGACAACCTTGTGGAAAATCAATTTACCATACATGAGAAAGTTTCTATCTGGGCTCTCTAGTCTATGGTTTTTATGTCTGCTCTATTCCCTTTTAAGAAGGATATGGTTTCTTTCAGTCATTTTCTCATACTTATATCTACTTCCTGAAAGGAAGGAGAAAGAAGAGGGAAAGTCTTATTAACACAAAGGGATTTTATGTTATGGTGACCTGGATTTGAATGCTATAAAGAGTACAACATTTCGGAGGTGCCCAATCCTGATTAGCATTTAAAATGTCAGAGCTGGGCCAGCATTGAAAAGTCTGTTTTGAACTCACCCCTTTACTATCTTAGGCACAATCATTCTCTACACTTGTTTTCTATGTTACTAAACTTGGGGATCATGTTTTCCTTGAAATCCTATAGTATTGGAATGAGATTCAATTTGGGTGTGTTCAGCCTTTTACTTGTAGAAGAAGAATTGCAGTTAATCAGCCTTTATTGAACATAATTTATAGGAGACACCTTTATATACAATTCTTTTTTTTTTTTATTTGGTATCAGAGATCGAACTCGGGACCTTGTGCTTGTGAGGCAGGTGCCCGAACCACTGAGCTAAATCCCCGGCCCAATATACAATTCTTGGTGACTTATAGTCTACTTGGGTAGGTCTACATGCCAAAGGATGGCTTAGTAATCATTTGGACATGGGGAGATGAAAATTTAAAAATTAAATTGGGATGCAAATTCCTCAAAGGTGGGGTATGTTGGGTGTTAAAGAAGGGTAAATTGGGCCGGGAATTTAGCTCAGTAGTTCCGGCGCCTGCCTCGCAAGTGCAAGGACCCGAGTTCGATCCCTGGTACCAAAAAAAAAAAAAAAAAAGAGTAAATTAGGATTCAGGGGTGAAGGTGAAGAATACTGGGAACTAAAACACAGAGGCAGGAACAAGTAAAACTCCCTGAGGACCAAGTGGTGGAGATGCCTGAGCCTTGGGGCCTGGAGGGTGTGTGGAAGAATGCACTGGTGGGTAGGTGGGGTGGGGCTAAATTACGGAGGATTTTTAAATAACCAAGTAAAAGAATGTGTACTTGATTTAGCAGACAGTAGTAGACCCTTAAAATGTCTCAAATAGCTGAGTGAAGTGATGCACACCTGTAACTGTAGCTATGTAGCTACGTGAGAAGTTGAAGCAGGAGGATCACAAGTTCAAATCCCATCTGGGCAGATTAACAAGACCGGGTCTCAAAATAAAAATGAAAGGGCTGGGGATGTAACGTCAGTACTGAAAAAAGGTTCTCATATGACATGATTAACTTTGTTTTTTGGTATGGGGGATCGAACTCAGGACCTTGCGCTTTTGAGTCAGGCGCCGGAACCACTGAGCTAAATCCCCGGCCCCTGATTAATTTTTTTTAAATGAAGGAATGGGCCACTCTTTCTGTAGTTTGTCTAGGAGGGAATGCTGGGCCGATTACTAAACAATCAATTCAGTTCTCTTAGGACTTCCCTGGAAATGAACACAGTACATCTTTGCCCTGTGCTCAATGCTATACTGAGGTATATCTTCCAATCTTCTTGACTGGAATTCACTGTCAGACAATGCACTGGTTCTGAGTAAGATCCTGTGAGATTTTTGCCCAAGTTCAATGCAGCCCACTAACCTTTTGTGCTAATGGCATAAAATTTCCCCTCTTGGTTCTGGTTTGGGTTGGCACTGTCCCCAGCTTTCCAAGCTTCTAAGCTACATATGGGGCTATAATTTTAGTTCCCTCATTTTTACAAAAGGTCAAGTTTTCTAAAGGTCTTCATGGATCAACTGGAATTTGTCGATGTTGGTGAAGGTGCATGAAAACTGGGCGACATTGCAGTTGAAATTTAGGGCATTCTCTCCACCCAATCCCACCCCAACTCCATTCCCCTAAAACTGAGCCTCTCAAGGACCCAGCAGTTTGTCTTCATTCAGTCCTTGCCACAAGAGGTGAAAATTACCTGTGACTCATCAAGTGATTTAAACTGCCCGGTCCCAGACAGGAGTATGAGGCTTTGCCACTGACAATTTAGGGTCACTGGAAAGTGAGAGCAAGCAGGAAGTCTCCTGCAGGCTGGAATCAGGAGAGCTGTTCGGAAGTCCGAGCATATTCCAGAGTGGAGAATGGCATGCGCAGGGCCCTCAGGCTGATGCCTCAGTGGTGGGAGGCGGCTGCATCTTTACCTTCCTTTCCCAGCTGAACACTCCTGACACGAATCTCCTCAGATGGCTACTGTGTTTGGTTTTCAACCAGGAAACAAAGAAAAGAGATTATTTGTTTTCTTATCTGCTTTTGCTGAATGGAACCTCTGATTCTACTTACTGGTTGCACCTTAGACACCCTGAGGCTGTTTGGGATTTTAAACCCCAGCACACAGAACTCAAATTTTGCTGACTCCTTTTCCATATCCTGATCCTGAGTTTTCTTCATCCTCCTGCAGTCTCCCAAAATCCCTTCAATCTATGATTAATTCTGCAGCCTGGTAATATTCTGCCCACGAATTGCTGTTTTAGCTGACCTGCCCTAAAAATTGGGAAGCCACTTTCTTTGAGTGTCTTTACCAAACATCTTGGGCTTTCTCACAATCCGGTTATCTTCTCATCTGCATGCTTTTCAAGAAATAATTATGAATTAAAAACATCTCTTAATTTTCAAGGCCATGCCCAGTCCTCCATAGAGCATTGCAGAAGTATGGAGTTCTACTCCATGCAGAACTAATTCTAGCCTGCCAGGAGTTTCAAATAGTTTCCTGGAAAACATCTGAGCTTTTTTTGGTGACTTGTTTTGCAGTACTGGGGATAGAACCCAGGGCTTGGTGCCGCACGTGGAGCTGTACCCCAGTGTTGTGCTTTATTTTGGGGTTTTGTTTTTATTTGTTTAGATTTGTTTTTAACCTTTCTCCCCCCATAATGACTTGAATCAGAGTGATTAAAGCAACAACAGCAACAACAACAACAACAACACACACAAAGACCATCTGTATTTCCCATTTCTAGTCCCAGGTATCAGGAAGGAGAGGCAACCCTAAGGAGAGTAACTCCACAGATGCCAGTGCCTGTTCGGAACATTCCTGAAAGGTTATCTGAAACTGTCTAGCCCAGCATGGGGACAGTCTTCCTTTCTGGTTTTCTTTCTGAACTTTCGTCCAGAGAGCATCCTGTTCCGTTACAAACTTACCCACTGCCCTCTCCAAATTGCTAGGTTGACTATGGGAGTCCAGTCAGTGCCTGGCACTGAGTTAGAAATAGAAAATGAGCTGGCAGCCCCCACTGTGACGGGTTTTTGCTGAGTCCTTCCCCCACCCAAGCCCGTCTGCTTTTAAACTGGCTTCTTCTTCCCTTCTGGAACCCTAGGCTTAACTCCTACCTCAGTCAACATGGGAGGCATTTGTAAACGTTTTCAAATGTGCCCTGAGTCCTTGCACGTGTTTAAGAAGTTCCTCATTCTCCTCCAGAACACTGGGCAAAGCGCTGACTTCTTCTTCCACCCCTGCCAACCTGGGTGGGTGGGTGGAGGAGGCTGGGCCTGGCCTCTCCTGGGAGACTGCAGCGGCCCGGGCACACCCCAGCCAGGGGAAGAAGCTGGCCGCCAGCACTGTTCGGGCTATATTTAGAAACAGCTTCCCTGCTTATAGGAAGCAGGGCCCTCTGTGGCTATAATTATGCCTGAAGAGTTACTTTCTTTCAAAAACTATTTTCAGGTGTTTACCACTTTCTTTAAAGTGGTTTAAAAAAAAAAAAAGTAAAATAAAAAGTTGCCTAAAGGCAGGCAGTCCCCAGAGCAGGAGCCTGGGAGTGGCTGGGTAAAATTCCATTCTGCTATCTTGTGTTACCGGAGGACAGGAACCAAAGGGGACCTTTAGGGACAGCAGGGACTAAAGAGTCTTTTTTCATCACCTAGACTGTCGGTCAAGTCATTAGTGGGTTAATTGTGTGGAGGGACCTGGGAGACAGGATTCCTCGGGGGCATTTCTGCTGTCCACTCTCAGATACATCCAGGAAACAGCACCGTGGCCACTGGCTGAATGCCTAGGTTCAAGTCCAGGTGATGAGAACTGAGACAGTCTTACTACTCGGGCAAGTCCCTCCACCTTGAGGCCTGGGTCTTCCCATATATAAAATTCAAAGGATTGCTGTGAGGATGGAATGAGGCAAACACAAACAGCGTGTGGGGTAGGGATTAGGGATCGGCACAACGAGATCAGGAAACTCTTCTCTGTTCTGCCGATTATTCTGTACCAGGGCCAGGAAGTGTGAGCTGCTGTGTGCCAGACACTCACAGAAAGTGATGCCCTGAGGAAACACAGAGGGAAGCTGAGACATGGCTCCTGGCCTGAGGGAGAGGAGACAGACCCCTCAGGGAGATGCTCAGAGAGTAAGGAAAACAGGGAAGGAATCCTTACCTCATTCTCCCTCCTGACAGATGTCAGGACATGGGCTTATCTGGGCGACCTGGGCCCTTCTCCTCGTTATGCTTGTTATGCTCAGCCTGTGGGTCAGAGAAAGCTGTGGAAGGACCATCCAGGCCTCCGACCCAGGGGTCCGGCTGCCTGTCCTGTGGCCAGTCTTCTCCTTCACTCTCAGGCCTTCCACCCAGCTCCACCAGAGGACCTGGGAGGGCAGACAGGCTTTGGCCCTGCAGACTGGGACTTTGTCAAGGGTCTTGAGCTCCTGTTGTTAGGTCCTAAATCTGTCCCAGGGACCCACCCCATCTTCCTGGTCCACACTCAGAGGCCAAGCTCCGGGCATACTGGTGCCACCACTAGTGGGCCTGTGCCTCAGCCATGACCACCCAGTCTGTCTCGAGCCCCCCACTCATTCTGCACTGTTACTCACCCTTGCTTTACTTGTCTGTCCAGTTCCTCTCCGAGTGTGTCAATGTCCACGTCAGTCTCATTTCTCCCATGAGCCCTTTTCGGACACTGAGGCTCACACTCGCCTTGCCATCCCATGTCTCCTTGTTATCTAGTCCGTTCATTTGGAAATTCGAAATGTGCTTAATTACAGTCTCAAAAAAGTATGTGAGCATCTGTTTGACTGCAAGGCACTGGGGCTAGAAGTGGGATATCTATAAAAGCACAGGACAGGATCTTCTACCAAGAAGCTTAAAATCTTACGGTGTGAAAAAATTCTAAAGGAGGGCCTAGAAAATTCCCTCTTGCCATATGTTGCTTTTCAGGATGGATATTATTATTTAACTCAGCAATAATAGTAAACAGCTATAGACGTTTGTGTGTGCCAGTACTGTATTAAGCACTTTGTACAAAGTGTTTTGTTAATGGAACTCTTGTGTGGTGAATACTAGTCTTCCCTTTAGAAATAGTGAAACAAAAGTACAGAAAGGTGAAGCAGTTGCCTACTGTTGGCCATCGAGAAAGCCAGCATTTGGACCAGTCAGCCCCACTGCATTGTTTATACTCGAACTACAATGTCCTCTTTCTCCTGGGGTCACCTTTTCTGCTCAGCTAGAATGCAGTTCTTGGAAGGCAGACACCTTGTCTCATCCTTTCTAGAAGGTGCTGAATGCATTATAGTAAAGTGGTGCACCCAAGCTGTGAACTTTCACAGGTGTACTATTCAAGATTCACTTTGTTGGCTTACAAACAATTCTTCCGGAATGGAACTCTTTGTAAGTCAGGGACTTAACTGTATTGCTTTTGTAAGTTGGAGACTTTCGGAGGCAAGAGATCCTCAGTCAACATTCAGGGGATCCCTTGATAATTAGGCCCTGCAGCAGAGAGAAGGGGTTGTCCAAGTTTCTTAGTTATGCACAAAAGAATTAGGAAAAGAGAGCCTAAAGATCTAGTACAACAGAGCACATGTTTAGAATACTCAAGGCCCCTGGGCTCCACCCCAGCACCAAAAAGGAAAAAAAAAAAGAACTAGGGAAAGAGCCTGAGAGTCCAGAGCCCAAATACTGCTGCGCTGGGCACTAACTTAGCTCCCAAAGGCAGCCAGCTAGACAAGTTTCAGGAGGACTTTGTACTAATGCTTCTGTGAGATGGTCGTAAACCCACTAGGAAGAGGCCAGAGGCCTTCATGACTTCAGATCAATTCCTACAAGAATGGGTGACTCCAAAACATTGCCTAGAACTTCAACTTTATATCCCACCTTGAGGACAGAGTCGTCCCACCCTTCAGTGTTTCCCATCATATCTACCAAGTTATAGTGATTGTACTTCTGAGATGAAGGGCACAAGGAACAAGAAAATATCAGTCCTCACTCAAAGGGAGAGATGCTCCTAAATTCAGTGAAAATCTTACAGCCTAATCACTCACCTAGCATGTTATCCATTTCTCTTATATTTGTTGGTTGCCTAGTTGGTACAAAAAGCTATGTAAACACTGAGAAGGAAACAATAAGCAAACACTTTCTGCCCTCCAGCAACTTACAAAGGAGGCGATTCTAGTTTTTTGTTTCTTTTTTTTTCTGCAGTGCTGCCGATGGATGAGCCAAGGGCCTAGAACATGCGTCCTGTAGCCCTGAGCTATGCTCCAGTCCCTGGTTTAGTTCTATATACACATATCTACAACACGAATCATGGAACAATGATTGCATATCCACTGTTTATTAATTGCTTACCTGTTGCCTCTAATAAGTGTTTTTAATATTATTTAATCTGTACAGCAAATCTGAATATAACTATCCTGTTCAGCTCTGAGAAGTTAGCATGTAATACAGCTGTAATCCAAGCCTCGATGTGTTTGACCTCAGAGTGCTCCTCACAGCCATGCTGCCCTGCTCCCCACAGGAAGTCCGGACAGGAGGACCAGTGAGAGCAGAGGTCATGGTCACTGTTAGCTTCGTTGAGCAGAAGTAGCTTACAGGAAAAGGCTACTGTAGAAGTCACCTCTCCTAATATCATTTCCTACTCCCACCAATAAACCTTTTTGCTTTTTCTCCAATCTAACCTCTACAGAATGACCAAATTAATATAAGACACAGCAATGATCATCATGAACTCCTCTGCTCAAAAAACCTTCACTGATCCCCCTCATAGTCACAAACAACTTTTTTTTGTGTTATACTGGGAATTAAACCCTATCACTGATCTACATCCCCACCCATCCCCCTTTTAAATTTTATTTTGATACAGGGTCTCACTAAATTTCCAAGGCTGGCCTTGAACTTGAAATCCTCCTGTCTCAGGGCCAGGGATTTAGCTCAGTGGTTCTGGCGCCTGTCTCGTAAGCGAAAGGTCCCAAGTTCAATCCCCGGTACAACCCCCCCCCAAAAATCCTCCTGTCTCAGCCTCCCTAAGTGCCGGGATTACAGGCATGTGTCACTATGCCTGTCCCTCAAACTACTCTGAAGCCTACCATTCAAGCTCATCTGCTGGCTTACCCTCGCTTTTCACCCATCCCTCTATTTTCTTTTTCTATGTCCTCGAAAAGTAGAACTGTCTGCTATCTCTCACACACAGGCCCACCTGCTGTTCCCAGCACTCTTTCTATGTCTCCCTTCTTCCTGTCTCTCTGAGTTGTTTCTCCAACTCTTATCCATCCTTTCATTTCTGACTTAAATGTCACTTGCTATATAACAGACAATTACTAAGCTAGGGCAAATATCTATGCATATACACATTTATCTATTTTTTTTTAACCATGTGTTGTGATTATGTCTTTTTTCTTTTATTACAGCAATCCCCCTGAAAGCAAAATCAAAATCATTTTCCCATACCCTAGGATCCTAGCATATCTAAATATTAATTTATCAGATGAACTGGTTTTTAAATTAAGGGGCTGGGTGTAGCTCAATGGTAGAGCACTTATCTAGCATATTCGAAGCCCTGGCTTTGATTCCCAGCAGTGCAGAAAATTACATTAAATTAAATACTTTTAAACAGAGGGAATCAGATGTGTAGAACTATTTGTATCTTTACACAATCATAAGTTTAGGATCCTTGAGCACCAAGACAGAAATGAAGGCAGCAGGATAAGCTTAGAGAGGATGATGAGTCATTTGCACAGCACACTGTAGAGGAAAAGGATCGGGGTAGAGGAAGGGCTGCAATAGCAGTGAATTTTATTCTTTGAAATATTGCCCAACATCCTGGTATTTGGGAATTTACCTCCCTTGCCTATACACACTGCCCAGCAGCCAGCAGCCCCGACTCTCTGTCATTGGTGGTCCCTGACCCCTCCACGACTATTCTCACTCATCCCAAGTTTCACGCCCCTGCAAACCAAGTCCGAGGGTGGACGCTCTTGAGTAGCTAAGCTTAGGCTCAAGCTGGTAAATAACCACTGGCTGGCAGGTCCCAAGTCTGGATGACAAGAGGGAGGTTTGGTGTGGGTGGAAATATACTCCCTATTTTGGGATTTCTAGGGCTCGTCCTGGGACTGCACAGCAAGAGCAGGCTGAGAGGGCTGTCTGGGGGAGGATGTGCCCTAGAAGAATGTCTTCTTGCAGGACCTGAGGTGGAAAGCAATTGCTTCTATCAGGACCCAAGTGTGCAGGCCCCGAGTTCCTGGGAGAAACCTGCAAACCTCCCCCCTCGCCCCGACTGTTGCCAGTCTGGTCTCAAACTCCTGTGCTCA